TCTCAAGGCTCTGACTGAGTCCCAGCCTTCCTCCCTAATCAACAGATTTTCTCATGAATCTCTCATGTAATATGAGTTGCATTATTTGAATTTCAGCTATGTGATTTAAACTGGAACCCATATATTCATCAGACCAGATTGTGATTTAAATGGGAAAAAAAGACCCAAATAGTACAAAAAATAATGTAGGCACTCTGTAAAACTCAATTGCAATAGCAAAAGTTATGTGAAATCTCATAAACAAATATGCAAATAATGTACCTCCCTCATCTGTAAATTGGGGATAAGAATTGCCTAACTTAGGTTTATGCTGTATAAAAGTATTTTGCATCACTGTTGATTTCAATTTAGGATACTTGAGGCTTAACCTGATATATTAATCAAAATATTTTCATTTCAAATTTTTTATTCATTTTCTTAAGAGTTCAGAACCACTGAGAATATTTGTTGGCATTTAGAAAAATTACTATTCATACTATCTATAGCTATAAAAATATATATATTTAATAATATTGGGATGGAGATTTAGCTCAGTGATGCTGCTGCCTGCCTTGCTAGCACAAAGTCCTGAGTTTGATCCCCAGTACCCCAAAAACATGTAACCATATTTAATAATATTTATACCATCATTAATATTATTTAGATTTCTGAACAATTACCTAATAATTTGAGTACTTTTTATCATTTTTCTTGCCCTGCTGTCCTGAAAAGAAGCTGTTGATCTAACTTTTATGGCTAAATTTTTGTGTGTGTGTGAATGTTTCCAGGTCAAAACTGATTTATGCATCCATAAACAATTTTCTTAAAAATTTACCTAAAAGGAACCTAAAACTCATCTAAGTAGTATGTTACAAAACATTGATTGCTCCACAAATAGACTAAGTTATATCCACAAGTACTGCTTTTAGATCTTCTTCAACCAATTCACAACCTTATGGGGTGGGGGTAGGCCACATTTGCCCTGTAAGTTAATTATTATGATAATGTTTTCAAAATTCTTGTGCTCCTTTTCCTGTCACTCATATTAAAATTATAATATAATATATAGCAGTGATGTTTTGTGGATTTACAACAATTTATACACGTAGAAATTTTTTTGTAAAATTGTTTACTCATATTTACCTACAACTTCCTATTTTTCAGATAAATTTTCAAAATATTCCTACCATCCTTCCAATAATGATATCTTTATGATGCCACACAAAGAAATTTCATCATCACATGAGGAATAACATTTCTTTTTTTCTTTTTTTTTTTGTTTTTTTTGAGACAGTGTCTCACTATGTAGTTCAGACTGCCCTGGAACTCACTGTGTAGCCCAAGTTGGTCTTGAACTCACAGTGATCCTCCTACTTCAGCCTCCTGAGTGCTGGGATTACAGGCGTGCTCCACCATGCACAGCAAGGAATAACATTTCAATTTTTCTTCAGTTTTGGAGAACTGAAGGAACACACACTGAAATTAAATAACGCTCTTCTAAGCGATCTACAACCTACTTTTTGCCCTGAAATGTACTAGTTTACTCTGGGAAGTACTTACAGCTATTTCAAATGCTTTCACTGTTGCTCAGCTTTATGAGATGAAAAGACATGATATAACTTGTTACTTTATTATCATGATGGTATCCTTTTAACACTCTTGTGCTTCTATTTATTTCACATAAGTGATAATTACCAGACACTGTATGAGTGGAGGGTGTTTGTTTTAATTCCTCCATTTGATGTATACTCAATATTAGTGTCAGTTATGTTTCTCCCAATAAAGCTCAGTCCTATGGCAT